ACGCATGTACCGGTAACGCTACGATCCTGGCAGGGTCGCCATCTATAACATCTCACATATTTATATATTTGAATGGTCCGTTCTATGTGGTGTTATGTGACAACCAGTTGTATAAATAGGGTCGCCAACCAGAGTCCGAGACCATAGTCTGAGTACTCTGGATTTTTTCTTTTATAATAAAGTAATATATAAAACACAATTTTGCTTTATTATAATCGTTATGTATATTTTGAGAATAAAATGATAATGCGAAGTTATAAACAAAGAAAACTAGAAAAGCCTTGCGGCATAAAAACTTTGTTCGAAAAAAATAAAGCTAAGCAATAAAATATAATAAAATAATATTAGTAATGTCATCGAATATGACTTGGCACATCATGTTGGGAACGGTGACACGAAAAAGTGACGAGAAAAAAAAACATTATTTGGCCAATATTCACTAGTTTTAATTGCGAGGTTTCTTATGCAACCTTGGCTCTCGCGTCGGGTATTGTTCATCGACGATGCGGCGGAGGGAGGTTACCGATGTGGCGGCGGTGTTATCGTCACGACACTGATCTAGAGGAGGGAACATTATAACTTGGCCAGCACTGTTGATGTATAATTTCGAACGTTACATCTTATAAAATCTAAAGGTAAGATTATTATCTATAGGCAATCTCTTGGGTTTTTTATTATATTTTAATTTTAAACCGAGTTATGAGTATTTTAAAATTGTAAATTATTTGTACGTCTTAAAGTACTCATAATTCACTTTAAAATTAAAATATAATAAAAAGCCTAAGAGGTTGCCTAGATTATAATCTTACCTATAGATTTTATAAGAGGTCAATTCATTCTAGTTTATAAATTAACGGAGCTAAACGTGTTCTTTTAAGATTAAAATTGTCTATGTTACCCACTTGTAAGACAACACATGCGGGTATCACGTACTCTTAAGCAACGGAGTAGCAGATAAACACACTTACTATTATTGGTATGAAATTATGAAATGTGCTTATATGTTATATAATTTATCAGAAATACACGTACCACAAAAACAAATTAGTTTCAATGATTTGAATAGGTTTTAATTTCAAAATAGAAGAAAATAATGGTGACTCCATTACATTTTCCCTTGATTCATAAACGATACAATATTTCAAATAAATTGTAGGTATTTGCGATCTTTAGGTACCTCAATAATTGTAGACAATAATCGAAACAACTCACACTATTATGCGAATTAACTTTCTAACTTACACATATGAATATTGTAAAAATGTGATTAAGAGTACTGTCCCCATAAAGATGGTAACCTACATATATAAATTTTTATTATATTACTTAAAATTTTAGTTTTTTAGTAGAACAAGGGTAGCAGTGAGAATCCCAACAGGTTGACAGTATTTGTGCCTAAACAGATTGCTAAAATTAATTAATAACATTAATAAAATACTTGTTTGAGCCCAATAACATTAAAAATCAATAAATTTGGAAATATTGCATGCAAATACATATTTCGTTCACCTTTTTTCAGATTTTAAACTTACAGAGTGAAATATTATATATTTATACATTTATCCATTTATATGTGGTAGGAAATTTGAATTATAAATTACGATCATTGACGTCTTCTCGCATTAATTTCCATTGTACATTTGTGCCTATTATTATAATTTATTATAAACCAACACGGTCAACCACAATATATAATATAACGTTCATAATATTATTACGGGTTTCAACACTTTATAAAATCTACAAGCTGCTAGTGGGGGGCTCCCAATTTGAAAGCATCTCTTATATTCGATAAATACTTTAACGTGTAAGTGGTTGAACGCTATTAATTCGCAAGTGAAAAATTAATATTTAATTAAGTAATATTATCATATTAAGACATTTTATATCATTTTATGTTTGATCGTTTAGCTAGGTCTAAGATATATAAAAACAAATTTTGCGTTTTACTGTGCGACGGGAGGCAGTACGGGCGGTACTGGTTTGCGCACAAATACCAAAAAGACAACTTTTTTGGGCACAAAACTACCACTCGTTTGGGAACAGTTGAACCGTAAACATTGTGGTTTGCGCACAGTTACCTTTTGGCCTGACCTTTTAATACCCTATTAATAAGTAAATTATTTAAGTATAGGTACCTACATACATTTTCCTTCTCACTTAACAGACTTAGGACTGTCTATGAATATAATATTCATAGGTGTGGTTAAAAATGCATGTTAATACTTGCTTATTATTAATAATAATTGTTAATAAATTATGTTAAAAATGCATATAATATAATGTTTGTGTAAAATGTGTTAATTTTAATTTTAAGATATATCAATTTAGAAAAACTACTTATATAAAATATTTATTTTGGCGCAAATGATATGTAATTTTTAACAGTTAACAGTTAAGTTAATGAAAAGCCAAAAGTAACTAGGTAGTTAAGTTAAAAAGTTAATATAAAATTAACTTATTAACTTAACTTTAAGTTTTTAACTCGTTAATGCCCAGCCTTGCATTTTTGCACCTTTGGCGCTTATGTCATATAGCCTTATTTTCGTGTGCGCAAACCAGTTGTACATTTAGGATAACCGTGTGCGCAAATGAGTTCCGATTTTTCAGGTAAAAATTATAAAATGTGCGCTAACAAGTTGCAGCCGGCAGTACCACCGGTACGTAAGACATGGGGGGCGGTGGTGAGGTCGGGTACAATTATGTCGTCACCGTCGTTAATCATTTATTCTTTAAACCTAAATATCTACTTAAATTGGTAAATTGTGACTGTAACTTCAATTTAACTAATTATAAAAAAAAAAATTGTGCTCAGAAAAAACGTTAATTACTAGTTTACTAATCTGACAATAATGCTTGTAAAAATAGAGTTAGGTAATGCAGTTAGTATTTACTGCACTTAAGTTACTAATGAAGTCGAATTATTCCTATAAAAATGTTTAAGAATAAAATGCTTTTCAGATGATAATAATTTACAGTACTAATTACTCTTATAAATTTTATCACTCTTGTACCTACTTTCGTTTTGCTTTATTCTGCTTTAATAAAATTATATATTATGTATATTATAAATATATTTTTTAGCGATTTTAAATGTTTTGGTTGGATGTATTTATTTCGAATTTAAGGAATGTGTGAATGTACAATAAGACTTTTTATTTTGTTTTCAATGTTTGGAAGTCCATTATATTTTTAACTGAATAATACGATCATACAATATGTTTGTAAAATTCTGTGTGGATCTTGTGGTGCTATTTTTTTTTGGCTCTAAGACACATTCTAATCGTGCTAGATTCGATAACATTGTATCGATTTGACCGCTAGGGTGCAATGTGTATAATAAGTGTAGATAAACTCGGTGTATGTGAGTGTGTCATTGTAAGCAACGAATATAAATTTCACAATTATACTGACATTTAATATTTTTGAAAAATAATAAGTGATTTTAGTGTAAATAATTTAATATAACAAAAAAATATCTAGTCACTCGAATATCAAAATAAAAATAATTATGTAAACGCTTTTGCATCGTACTAAATGTACCTATTATTTTTTTATATAGATAACTTTTGTTACTTCAATATTAAATTTGGCTGATAAATATTATACTGTATACTGTATAGGTAACATATTTATTAATATTAAAATAATTAGCGTGGATAAATATTTCCACGAAACCAATATAAATGAAAATAAAAATATTATTTTTAGACTTATTTATAGACTCATAATATCAAAACTCATATCAAATATTTTAATACGCGTACCATTTAAACACATATCTTCCAAATGGGATCGGGCATAGTTCACGCTTCGATTTCGTATATAACACTAAGTTGTAATGTTTGACCGGATGCGCTATTTTTTAAAATGTGTGGTGGGGGAGAGTCACTGTAAACATAATATAACATAAAACACAATTCAGTGGCTCTCCAAGACCCAATGAACTGAGTTGTCAGACGAGTTTCAAAATAACATTCCATAAACACATCAAAATTATTATCGGTAAGTAATTAATTATATTATATTTCATAACGATTTATTAAAATAAAATTAACTCGTGCTCATATTTATTTATGTATGTCTCTGCAGCTGTTTTCCAAGACCCGATTGGACAGTTTTTGTCGAACGAGATTCAAATCAACATCCAGTAAAGATATCAAAATATAATATCGGTAAGACGTGTTTCATGATATTATATTTCATTATTAGTATTATATTAGTGTAGTTATACCCAGTGGCGAGCTGAAGCACTCAATTTTAACGCATTTTCAAAGGGTGTGTTGCCACCCCGTAACTGTGGCACAGAATTACATTCTAAAGCCTGACATCTTGGCTCTTTTAATCACATTTTATTTACATCATAACGTTGTTATAAGTAAAAAATGGTGGTGGTGTTAGTAAGTAGGTACATAATTATGAAAATGCGTCATTTAAAATTGAAGTTCAGTCCACCACTGGTTATATCGTTGTGATATTATAGTGTATAATAGGTATGTTCTACCCCGTGCCCTGTACGACAGGTACTTGGCTTGCCGTTATGATTTTTTGAAAAAAATAAAATTATTAGCAATATTAGTTATTACTTGAGCAGCAATAGTTTGTAATTATAACATATTATGTATAACTATATAATTAAATTACCAAGACAAAGTCGGCAACAGGGTTGTTAGTTGTTACGTTTAAAATACGTTTTCAACATCAATAAAAAACGTGTGTTTAAAACAATATTTTTAGTAAATTTTAAATTACCTAAAATAATCTATGAATTTCTCTTCTCAATATTTTATATATTCATATAACTTGGTTAAACATTTGAATTATAGTCATCTTGCTGCCATTCTATGTAGTACCCTTTCTGAACGACTTATCTGGCATTTATCCCGTCAATATGGATAGATTTTGACGTTTATTATTATTTAATATTTTGGTTTTATGTTTCAGTGGGCGTGAGCTATACCTTCGACTGGTCATATATTTATTATTGAAATACAATCACGATGGCTGCCGACGACGAGATGACGTATGACGTAACCACTTTATTAAAGCTTGCTTACCAAGCATGTAATGTCAAAGAGAAGACATGGTACGACAATCTGCCAATTCTGCCCGCTGACGTACAAATATGCTGCGAATCAGTCCTTAAGATTATTCGCCTCAACCATTGCGTCAAGCGTTTTAACCCACTTGGCGATCGGTTATCCATGTTCCCCAAAGTGCAGCACCTCGTCCAATCACAGTTCAGCGATGACTATGTGATAAAAAACGTATGTGAGATGGCCGCTTTCCACGGACACCTGGAATGTCTGAAGCTCGCTCGTGCGATTGGCGTCCCATGGTTTTCTCCCACGTATGCTCAGAAATCGGCGTGCGATCGGGCCGCCGAATCGGGGAACCTTGAGTGCCTGGTCTACGCTCACCAGCACGGGGCTCGGTGGTCGGTATTCACGTGCAGTTATGCAGCGAACAATGGTCATCTGGACTGTCTAAAATATTTGCATACCAATGGATGCCCATGGGACGATTTAACAACTACCAACGCCGAAAAAAATGGACACCTCGACTGTTTAGATTACGCGTTACAAAATAATTGTCCACTAAAAGAATACGAAGACGATGAGTAGTGCAGTGTGCTGAACGAAATATATTGTAATTATTTATCCTAATTATATGTAATTATATATTATTTGTTTTTAAATATAAGCAATTTAATAATATTTAGTGATATGCCTTTAAATTTGGAAACAAATATTATTTGAAAAAGGTTATTTCATATTAAAAAATGTAGCAGCAAGTAACATAAATAATAAGTCTTTTCATTTGGCCGGCACGAACTTTAGCCCCTCCCCCAGGTCCAGCAGAAGTCATATCTAATATTATAATAATATTACCCGCTCGGGTAAGCACAATCGGGAACCTGCCCCCCGCGCGCTCCGCACCCGGTACGATCAATCCACTAACTGCGCGAATTATAATTATTATTTACTTATAAAAAAAAAAACTACTTACTAGATCTTGTTCAAACAAATGTTCGGTGGAAGTTTGCAAGGTAATGTACATCATACATTTTTTTTTTAGTTTTATCATTTTAGAAGTTATAGGTGGGTGGACACACAGGTAGTGTTTGAAGTATGAATTATTTCACAAAAACGTGAAACATTGAAATTTTTTTTAACACAATGTTCAGTGTTCTAAATTCTAATGTCAGAATTCAGTAGGTATACAAAATACATGTATAATATTGTATATCTACTTTTATCATTTAAACATTTTGAATACCATTTTAAATGTATAATACCAAAGGTTAGGTATACATACAGGTACCATACAGTTATGAAGGTAATTTATGACAATTATATATAAATATAGCTATGTATACCTAATACTTGTATGAACAGTGTTCGTGTTAACCCGATAATTATAGGAATAAACACAAAATGTTCTGTTTCTTATCTAACCTATCACCTATGTTAGTTCTCATAACCTATATTGTAACTATATAGCTACAACAAGCTATGTTTAAACAAGATAAGTATACCGAAGAACTATTTGTTGATTTTTTATGTTAAACTAATGCACAAATGTGTAAAATAAACAAAAAATAGTGATTAAATAAATACATAATAAAAATTAGGTATTAGCAGTGTTGTAAAAAATACTTATAAAAGTATTTAAGTAATTACTCACATAATCTTATAATAAAGTATTTAAAATACCACCCGATACTATAATTAGTTTTCAGAAGTATTTGAAATAATCTTCAAATACAAAAAAAATTCTTTTTACTTTTTAGTTCTGAAATACTTTGCTATAATCAAAAATTTGTTTATTGCATTTGAAAAACATAATTTGTTCAATAGGTAATCAAAATTCTGATCATTCTGCACTTTTCTCTACAAAGTTATATAATATTAATTTAAAATTTTATGTATTTAGATATCTCATAGTTTATACTGTCGTAGACGATAAATGATAATGATAATTATTGATAAAAATGTTCTTGATAATAGGTAGTATAACCACCTAGTAATAATATTTTCGTATAATTAAATAATTATTAAGAATAAACTATAAAGTATAACAGCTGATAAGCAGAAGCTTTTTACATTATAAATATTTTGTTATTGACTTAAGCTAATTATAGTGATACCGACTAAAAATGTATCTTTTCGATCTTGGTCGACAATAAATTGTCTCCTGGAGAAAAAAAAACATTTAATCGACGAAAACCAAATTGTCTGTAGGGCATAAATGATAAACATATAATATTATATTGTTATAATGTTATAATGTTAAAGCAAAACAATGACGGCATGGTATTTTTATTTAACAAGAAATATAAGAAGAAACAAATTAAGAATTAAAAGAATAAAAAAAAAGTATTCAATAAAATAGTATACAATAGTAAAAAAAGTATTTAAAATACCATTCAAATACTTCAAAATAAAAAGTATTTAAAAAGGTATTCAATACGGAAAAAAGTTTTTAAATACTTTTACTCAAATACTCTACAATACTGGGTATTACCGATCAGCAGTACATTAGGTGTCGTGTGGATCACAACTTTAATACACGTTGTGTTAAATTTGAATTATATGAATAATATGGCATAGTGTAATAGATTCTATAGATTTTCTATTTTTTCATTGTATACGAAAAACGATTCTGAGAGAAGAAGATCTATCAGCCAGCAGCATAGTAAATCACCTACTATAGGTATGTATATTTTATGATATTATTGATTTTAAAATAATTTATTTTACTATAAGTAAAACAGTGGGTTGAAATAATTTTTTCCAAAATTTTTGAGATTCAAAATATCGTTGTGGGCGTAAAATATAATAATATTACAGTGTCGGACTGGCTCGAAAAATCCCAGTCCGCGATTTGGAAAAAAGGGCCCCCAACAGGCAAATGGCAAATGTTTTAATTAGCCCACAAAAAAACTCGCTTCGCTCGCAATACAATTTTCATGTACTAACATAGTCACATAGAACATTTTTTTCAATACAATTGCCATCTTCCATATTTATCATACAGCCATATAGGCACAAATAACTAAATACGTACCTAACTGAAATTCAATCATTTTATATATTAACTGGTTTTACTATATTTTCAATATAGAAATTATATTGAGCATATTCTTAAATGCTAAGACATTTTCTGCCGGTCCTATGTAAATTGACGACAAGAGACCCATCGGACTATTTTTATTATCAGACAGGGGAAATCCCTCCTATCCAACCACCAAATTACGTCACTAGGGCGTAGCCCCTATACTGGCTACATCACGTTCTGTGACATCAAACATTATAAAGAAGAACACCGGTTCAAATTGTGCACGAGTACAATAATTATCTAAAATATAATAATTCTGTTAAAATCAGTTATAATGCGAAATAATACCAAGTCATACGCATACGCCCGTATAAATATAGTATTATAATATTGTTTAAGAAGATGTCAGAGCACTATTTGTTTTCTCTCTCTGCAGGCCCACGCACAATATAGATAAAACGCATTACCTACTCAAAATCTTTTTTTCTATGTTTTTAAGTAATCTTAGAGTAAAATCACTTATTACAAAAAAGATAGAGAATAATATTTTTAAGGGAATGACTTATCGATTTGTCTAAGTATTGTCTCAAAACAATTTAAACATAATTTAAATTTACAAAAATTTTTTGTTTATTTTGAATGTAGAATACAAAGTCAAATAACAATAAAATACAAAATCGATATGTCATTCCCTCAAAAATATTATCCTCTATATTTTTTGTAATGGAAGATTTTACTCCAAGATAACGTAAAAACATAAAAAAAAAAGGTGGGTAAGTGGATGTCGCTCTGCTGTACAGTAGGTTACAAGTGGGTCACTGTATAATGGATGGTATTAAATTTGAATTCAATGATACAATATCATTGTATAAGAAAACGATTCTGTATGTCAGTCTAGGTTTAAGACATATTATATACATATCTATGGTATTAAAAAAAAAATTGACCTATAATAAATTCCAAATTAATCATATCACAATATCCATTAGTTACTTATAACACGTTATACATCAATAACAAACCCTGATACTATCAAAGATATATAATATAGTGTACTTTGGAAGTTTCAAGTACCCACGAATAGTATTATACACTCACAACAAAATAACTAAAATAGGTATGCTAGGTTTTTGATTATGTAATTTCGTCCCAAATTTGAACTTAAAATGTCTGTAAAAAATAACTGTGCTCATATATTTTTTAGATTTTTTGGCTACAGTATGAACTATTTATGAGAATCTTTTTTTTAAATTTTCAATCCTTAGCTATAAAAACTGAACATTTTATAATTTATTAATTACGATGATTGATAATTTTCGAGATTTTGATAAATTTTGTCAAAATGCGATCTTTAAATGCTTATAAAAAAAAATTGTGCCTATGTATTTTTAATATTTTTCAATTAATATTGTAACAATATATCAGGAGCCTTTTATTAATTTTTCACCCTTTTTGGCCCAACAGATAAAACTTTATTAATATTTATAGAAAAAAAAAACTAAAAAAATTGAAAACTGAAAATGTCCGTAAACAGCTCAAAAAGAGTCAAAATATTTTAAAAATTGTATGGTGTATAAGAAATGCTAATATAAACATTCAGTGAAATTTTCATGTATCTACAGTAATTCGTTTTTGAATTACAACAAAATAAGGAAATCGCCACATGAGAAATCGAGTGAATATCCAATGTTGTAAAAATTTGAATTTCAAACCCTCATAAAAATTTAATTCGACTTTCTTATAGAATTTTTTTTTTGATAAATGTAGGAAATCTCATAAGGAATCTTGTATTACATTTTCATATCTTAGATTTAAAAAGAAAAATTTTTATAAATTTCTAACTCGAAATAATTTGCAAATTTTCGTGATTTTTCCATATTTTGTCATTTTTTGAACTTTAAATGCTTAAAAAAAAAACTGTGACTAACGATTTTTAATATTTTTCATCTGACTTTGAAACAATATAGTAGGAGCCTTGTATTAAATTTTCAAGTATTTTTACTCAACAAATAAATTTTTATTAATATTCATAAAAAAAAAAAACTAATAAAATTGGAAACTGAAAATGTCCCTAAACAGTTCAATATAAATCAAAATATTTTGAAAATGTTATCGTGTATAGTAAATGCAAATATAAACAACCACTGAAAATTTCATGTATCTACGGTTATTTGTTTTAAAGTTACACCAAAAACCAAAATCGATTTTTTGGAAAACCGATTTTGCGTAAAAATTCCCGTTTTTCCTTAATTTTTCTTTTGTTTTTCCCGGCGCTTTTGAAAACTACTAGGAAATTTAAATTTTGACCTCCCCAATGCACCAACGATATTCACTTTCCAATCGAACAAGATACTGAAGTTGAAAATCGAAGCATTATTTCGACTACTTATCGTGTACACAGACACAAAAAAAATAAAAAAAAAAAATTTAAAAAAAAACACACATCATTGTAAAATCAATACATTCATCGTTTCACTCAGAATCTAAAACGATTCTGCATTAATGCTTTTTGTCTATGTTTCCAGAGAGAGAAAACAAATAGTACACTGACATCCTCTTAATA